CGAACTTGTTTCTCAACGTCAATTCTGTCAACTTCTTTTTCGTCGCTGCTACCATCTGAAAAAAAAAAAAAAAAGAAAAAAACAGCGTGCTAACGAAGAATCGCTAAAGAAGGAAGATGATGCTGTCTGTCGCTTTTTGAGCGACGTCGGACACTGACTTTTCATAGTTCCTTTTTCTTTTCTTCTTCTCCTTTTTTTATATATATAGATATATATATATATATATATATATATATATATATATATATATTCTCCTTTTTTACCTATCACTACTACTTCTTTCCCTTTTTCCTCTTCTTTATTTCCTTTTTCCCCCCTCTCTTTCTGTATTTTTTTTTTTTTAACTTCATGCGATTCCTGCCGTGTTCGGTTTTCGAATTTGAAAGGAACGCGCGCCGCACACGTGCGAGATTCACTTTCTAGTCCGCTGCATTTAAAATACATATTAAAAAAAAGAAAAAAAAAAGAAGAAAAAAAAGAAAAGCACGATCGAGGTTATAGGCCACGATAGACATAAATGTTTTAATGTCCTTATTTCTTCTGGGAAAAAATTCTACGAGCCCTCGATTATAATCTATCGATCGTACGAGAGAGAGACTGAGAATAAAGGAGAATATTAGTTCGTTAATTTATTCAAAGGGAATAACGGAAAGGCGGAGAGCAAAAAAGAAGAGAAGATAGATAAATAAATAAATAAATAAATAAATAAACTAACTAACTAAATAAATAAATAAATAAATAAATAAATATATAAATAATTAATTAATTAAATGAATGAATGAATGAATGGATAGATAGACAGATAAGATAGAGAAAGAGAGAAAGAAAAAGAATGAGTTGGTAACAAAGAAGAAGAAGAAGAAGAAGAAGAAGAAGGTAGGGGAGTAAAGTGTGGAAGATAACGAGATAAGATCGTTCCCTCGGCATGAAGATATCCGACAAGACCGCGATAAGGCCGATTCCACGGGGTGGTGGAAAATACGAATCTAACGTCTTGTCTTGAGATCGTTTCCTCGTCGGTTCAACGTGCTTTGGGAGAGGTAAACGAAGCAGAGATAAAAGACAAAAGAAAAGAAAAAGAAAAGAAAAAGAAAAGAAAAGGAAAAGGAAAAAGGGAGGAGAAGGAAAATAGAGGGAGAAGAAGTGGAAGAGAAAGAGGAAGGAACAAATGACTAGCTTAACCATTGCGGCGAGCATGATGCCTCTGTCAAGGGCAAATCCGTATGGAATGGCGGCGGACACGATATCGACGCAGACGTGTAACATAGCGACGAACGAGAGCAATCACCTGCCACCGTTAAAGTCAACGTCGGCGGCAGTAGTGATGATGGCAGCGGCTTTCGACAACTTGAAGCAGAGCGAATCGTCGCCGCCGCGACACGTCGCGCACGCGACCATCGGTCACGTGGTTGGCGGTGGTGCCAGCGGAGGAGGAGGAGCCGGAGGAGGAGGAGGTGGTGGTGGTGTCGGTGCCGGTGGCGGAGGAGCGTCCACGCACCTGCCCAGCCTTGCGTCAAGCGCTAACAACAGCCTGCAGAATCTCTCCGGGAACTCGGACAGCCTAAATCTCAGTTTAAGCTCGCACGCGAGTCACAATTCGCATTCCCAGCCAAACTCGCAGTCGAGTAGCCCGATGGTGAAGAACGGTAGATCGGATGGCAGTTCGAGTGGTGGTGGCGGCGGCGGCGTCGGTGGTGGCGGCGGCGGCGGCGGTGGCGGTGGCGGTGGCGGTGGCGGAGGCGGTGGTAGTGGTGGTACGGGTGGAGCCGTCGTTTCTACCACCGACGGAAGGCCCGGCACCGCGTCTGGGGCCAGCGCAAGCCCCAGTACCGTTCTTTTTCCTGAAAAACGTATGTCGATGAGGCTCCTACCGGATACCGTAATGAGGTTCTATATGAACAAACTCACGCCGTACGAACACCACGAGATATTCAATTACGAATACATTTATTTTATCGGGGCGAATGCCAAGAAACGACCCGGCATCATTGGACGGCGTAACAATCACGAGTACGACAACGATCAAGGCTCTTATATACACGTACCGCACGATCACGTGGCGTACAGGTACGAGGTCCTCAAGGTAATCGGCAAAGGTTCCTTCGGTCAGGTCGTTAAGGTATATGATCACAAGAATCATGAGCACGTTGCCCTCAAAATGATTAGGAACGAGAAGAGGTTCCATCGGCAGGCGCAAGAGGAAATCGAGATACTGAAGAAGCTTAGGGAACAGGACAAACACGATAGGATGAACATCATTCATATGTTCGAAGCGTTCACCTTTCGTTGTCACACATGTATAACCTTCGAGCTACTCAGTATTAATCTTTACGAGCTCATCAAGAAGAACAGGTTTCGGGGCTTTAGTCTTCAGCTCGTCAGAAAGTTTTCGTATTCCCTTCTTCTATGCCTCGACGCACTGAACAAGAACAAAATCATACATTGCGATATGAAGCCGGAGAACGTTCTTCTAAAGCAGCAAGGACGGAGTGGTATCAAG